GTTCTGACGATCAGCTGTTCTGACGATCAGCGGTCCCGACGATCAGCGGTCCCAATGATCAGCTGTTCCGACGACCAGTGGTCCCGACGATCAGCTGTTCTGACAATCAGCCGTTCTGACGTTCAGCTGTTCCGGCGATCAGCTGTTCCGGCGATCAGCTGTTCCAACGATCAGCGGTCCCGATGATCAGCGGTCCCAATGATCAGCTGTTCTGACGATCAGTTGTGCCGGGATCCCCCTCGCTGTCTTACTGCTTCGCCCAGGAGCCTTCCCTGAGGCCTAGGAGGCAAAAAGGGGCACGGGAGGGGTTCACCACTGGCTCCGTCCCAGGGTGGACACGCTGACCGATGGCATGGGTGGGTGGGTGGGTGGGGTCCAACTCATTGGGTGCTTCTAGTTTGACCCACCCATTGCTCTCCTTCCGGGGTCTACAAACTTGGCAAACGATGGAGTGAGAGAGGGAAGGAGGGAGGGGGAAAGGAAGGAAGGAAGGAAGGAAAAAAGGAAGAAAGGAAAGAAGGAGGGAGGGAGGGAAGAAAGGAGGGAGGGAAGAAAGGAAGGAGGGAGGGAAGGAAGAAAGGATATAGGAGGGAAGGAAGGATACAGGAGATAGGGAGGAAAGGAAGGAGTGAGAGAGGGAGTGAGGGAAGGAAGGGAAGGATATACAGGAGGGAGGGAAGGAGGAAAAGAGAGAGGGAAGGAAGAAAGAATACAGGAGGGAGAGAGAGAGGGAGGGAAGGAAGAAAAGTGAGAGAAGGGAGGGTGGGAAGGAAGGAAGGATACAGGAGGGAGGGAGGGAGGAAAGGGAAGAGGTTAGCGTTGATTGTTAGTGACCACATGGATAGCGCCTCAAAAGAAGGAAAGAAGGAGGGAGGGAAGAAGGGAAGGAGAATGAGGAATTCTGGGAAGTGAAGTCCACAAGCCTTAAAGTGGCCAACTTTGGAGACCTCTCCCCTACCTCTGCTCCACTTAGTGACCTCCAATCCCATCCATAAAGCAGATTTCACTGCGGAGGATACAAGTCCCTTTTCGGAATTCCGAAAGGAGGGTTGCCTCTCCGCCTGGGGAGGATGGGAGTTGTAGTCAAAACCATTTGGGACCCACAGAATTGGGGGGGGGGCTGCTGAGAACAGCACTGGGAAGGGGGTCCCCTTTGACGTCAGTGGGATCTTACACCCGAGTTGATCTGTGGGATCATGGGCTTAATTAATTAACGTCTTGCCCTCCGTTCATTCTTATATTTGCTTCGCAGCTCTCGAAAACGACGTCCTCGTGCTGGTCGAAAGAAGAAGGTAAGCGGTTCGTTTAGCGACGGTTCGAAGTTGCAATGGGACAGAAAAAAAACGACCTGCAACCGGTCCTCGCACTTGCGACGGTTGGAGCATCCCTGCGGTCACGTGGTTAAAAATCCGGGCCCTTGGCCATTGGCCTGTCTTTGTGACCGTGGGCAGAGTCTGGGATCTAGTGGATCCCCTTTTGGGATCTTCCCAGCTGACTTCCGACAGTGAACTGGATTCGCTTCATGACCATGCGCTGCAGGGAGTCATCCAGCAGGGCAAGAAGGTTGCCCAATTGGGAGCTGCTCACTTAACAGCTGCCTCACTTAGCAACCGAAGTTCTGGCCCCCATTGTGGTCGTACGTTGAGGACTACCTGTAAAGATGGTTTTTTTTTCTTTCAAGGAAATTAACATTTGAATTGAATTGAATTAAAATTCAAATATTCAGGGTTTAATTTTGCCTTTTCAGTTTTTTTTTATTTCAATGTTATGAAGAAGGAAGGGAGGAAGGAAGGAAGGCAGAACCGAGAGGAAGGAAGGATGTAACAAAAGAGGGAAGGAAGGAAGGATGGATGGAACAAAAGTGGGAAGGAAGGAAGGAAGAAGGAAAGAAGAAAGGAAGGGAGACAGAACTGAGAGGAAGGAAGGAAGAAAAGAAAAGGAAGGAAGGAAGAAAAGGGAGGGAAGGAATGACGGAACAAAAGAAGGAAGAAAAGAGAAGGAAGGGAGAGAGAGAAAGAAAAAAAGAAGCATGAGAGAAAGAAAGAGGGAGAGGGGAAGAGAAAATGAGAAGGAAGGAAAGAAGGGAGAGAGAGAAAAAGAGGAAGAAAAAAGAAAGTGTGAGAAAGAGAGAAAGAAAGGGGAAGAAAAAAAGAATGGGAGAAAGGGAGAGAGAGAAAGAAAGAGAAAGAAAAGCATGAGAGAAAGAGAAGAGAGAAAGAGGGAGAAGGCAAGAGAGAAGGAGAAGGAAGGAAAGAAGGGAGAGAGAAAAAGAAAGAAAAAAGAAAACGTGAGAAAGAGAGAAAGAAAGGGGAAGAAAGAAGAAGAATGGGAGAAAGGGAGAGAGAGAAAGAAAGAAAGAAAAGCGAGAGAGAAAGAGAAGAGAGAAAGAGGGAGAAGGGAAGAGAGAAGGAGAAGGAAGGAAAGAAGGGAGAGAGAAAAAGAGAAAGAAAAAAGCATGAGAAAGAGAGAAAGAAAGGGGAAGAGAGAAGAAGAAGGAAGGGAGAGAGAGAAAGAAAGAGAAAGAAAAGCATGAGAGAAAGAGGGAGGGGGAAGAGAGAAGGAGAAGGAAGGAAG